CGCTCTTCATGTGGTTCAAATACACCTTCAGGGAGTGATGTGGAAACAGATGCTTTAGAGAAAGCAGCCGAGAAAGATAAAGAGGAGGATGTGAAGGAAACAGATGGGAATCAGACAGGTACTGAGTCAAGTACACGTCGAACTAGTAGAAGCAAAGACAACTCAAGTGATTCATGGAAGGAGGTTTCGGAAGAGGTTGAAAAACTTTGATATGTTAAGAGATAACAAAAGTTTGGTACAAGAAACTAATTTCTATGCAATTGAAAATTATGTGTTATAGGGTCGAATGGCGTTTGATGCTCTCTTCGCGAGAGAGAGACTTCCACAAAGCTTTTCACTGGCCCTCGACGTGGAAAAGGAAAGCCCGGAGAAAGGAAAGGGGAACAGGGAAGAAAGGGAAAGGGAAATGGCGCATAAAAGCAAGATTCAAGATTCATGTTCAAAGGAAACAGCATCAAGAAGTGAAGGAAATGGAGGAATAACGATAGGAATAGGAGAAGGGAAAAGCTTGAGGGCAAGAAGAACAGGGTTCAAACCATACAAAAGGTGTTCAATGGAAGCAAAGGAAAGCAGCAGCCAGGCCGAGGAGAAAGTCTCCAAGAGGATTCGTTTGGATAGCAAAGCTTCCACATGACATGCTCTCTTTCACCGCAAACGAAGAAGAAGACATTCGTTTTGGCTGGCAGGTAAAATTCTCCCCATAATCTCACTAGAACTGGTTCAGTTTCATGACTTTTTTTTTGCATTGTTATTATAATTATTATTAGATAATGAACAGACATTTCTATGGCGATTGTCATTTTTGTACAATGTTTGATGTCTTTTTTTCTGTTGTCTCTCTCCATCTGAATGCTACATTTGCCCTTCTGCTCCCTTCTGTTAGTTAACCATTCTAAGGATGGATCAAAGCCTCTCTCTCTCTCTCTCTCTCTCTCTCTCTCTCTCTTCTTATAATCAACTCGTTGTAATGAACTGAATTTTTTTGTGGGAATACTTTTTTTTATATATATATGTAAGGTTTATGCAAAAATTGACGCTACATACATTTCTTAATGGGCCGTACGTTGCTGGACCTAGAGGCCTATTATTAAGTTTTTTGCGGGAATATTACTCAAATAACCCACTTAGGTCGCAGCAATTTCAGTGTACATCACCGAAAAAAAAAAAAAATTCAATTTTAACCCATTTTTCGGTTGAAAAAGTCTGAAATACCCTTTTCTTTTTATTTTTTACGACCTTATTACGACTAACATATAATATACCACTAAAATAAGACAGATGATTTTTTTGCCACTTTTTTAAGAATCAATTGTAACTATATTTAGAATTAATTACGAAGTCGTAATAACGAAGTTGTTTTCGAACGGATAGATATCACGTATTCATTAAGGGTAATTTCGTCTTTTCAACAAAAAAAAAGTGTTATGTTTTTCCTGTTCATTTAAGTAAAATTCTCGTTTTTTGGGGAATATTACTCAAATAACCCATTTGGGTCGCAGCAATTTCAGTGTACACCACCGAAAAAAAAAAAAAATTTTGCGACCTTATTACGACTAATATATAACTAATATACAACTTATTACGACTAATAAACTACTCTTATTTTAGTTGTATATTAGTTATATATTAGTCGTAATAAGGTCGTAAATTTTTTTTTTTTTTTCGGTGGTGTACCATGAAATTGCTGCGACCCAAGTGCGTTATTAGGGTTAAAACCCCCCGTTTTTTGCCCCCTATCTCGTGTTCATTTAGAATCTTGTATCTGGCCCTCCGACTGAATTTATCATCAATCATGTATAATTTTTCAACCATGATCTTCGATTAGCTAATTGATTACAAAAAAAAAATGAAGTAATAATGATAGTTCGTCTCGAGAACGTGCTATGCATGATATTAGTTCGTGCGTGGACTCCAAATGGCGACCAATAATTTTATTTTCCCATTTATGTATACTTATTTGTGGTTGCAGCTTTTTTTGTTTTCCCAATCGAAGATTAATTTCCGGGGGGCAATGCCCACCAAAATTAGTAAATCATTTTAAATTTGATTTATTGTTATTTTAATAGAGTTTTAATGAATATAATATATGGTTTACAAATTAATTGATCCATTTTATATACATCCAAGTCACAACACACGAAATGAACCGCGTTTCTCGCCATCCGATCTCCTGATTTCATGCTTTTGGGCCCATACCCCACATAGATACAGCTCTGCCTCTCAATTTCAGGAGACGCGTTGACCTATTTCTCTTGTTCTTCCTCCGTCGCCAAAAATCCCCTTTGATCTGTGCGTAAGAATCTTTCCCCTCGATCCCCAAGGTATGATTTTTCTTGTTTACTTTTGTTCTTAGATGTCAAAGTTCGATGCTTTTTCATGTAAATCGTTCTGGGTCTCGCTTCGATTTCGCCCCTAAAGAACAATAAATGAAGGCGAGGAAATCGCCCTAGTCCGGATTTATTCAACATCCCTTTTGTCAAAGCTCTGGAATTTGGTTTTATAAGAACAAGGGTTTTGGAATTTGATGTTCAGAGAAACGAATGGCGACATCTTCCTCCGAGATTGTCGAAATACAAGTTTGATGAACTAATCCGATATGATTTGCTTGAGCGATTGGTCGCTGAGTTAATTTCTTGACGAGATTGTATGGTGGATGTTTGAAAATGGTCAGGTTCAATTCAATCTACTCGTAATGTTACCATCTGTGATAAGATTTTGTTGATTCGGTATTAACAGTTTCACGTTGAATCTCATGGCACATTGTCTGTGTCCGCGGATGGATCTGACTGTTTATGGCAATTGACAAGAATAACAATGGGCATTTGTTCATTCTAGATGATGATATATTAGTAGATATGAACCATCTTTTGTTTTAATGGTGAATCTGATTGATGTTCTTTCCCTCAAGAGTCCCCTAATCTTCATATCCTTGGTAGTATTTGAACAAATCTTACAATGCATCTTGTAATGAATCATAATACTAATTGATTTTCTGACCTCATTCTTTTTTAATCAGATGAGTGAAGAAGTGAACGAGAACCAAGTCGTGAAGGCTCAGAGATCTGCTCCCCGTCTGAATGAGAGGATCCTCTCGTCCTTGTCTAGGCGGTCCGTTGCTGCTCATCCTTGGCATGATCTTGAGATCGGTAATCATAAAACGGAACCAGTAATTGTTTTGTTGTTGCAAGTCTCATGTTTATGCTCCTGCCCTTCAAAACTGAATCATCTTTGGTAAAATTGATGATGCCTGCAGGACCTGGAGCTCCTCAAATCTTCAATGTGGTAAGTATTATAAATCGAATATTGTAGCTTAAAAACTAGGAAATCAAAGACAAATCTTTATTATATTTTTCTCGTGCATCTATTCTAGTTTTGCACGCCTATATGATCCATCATCTGTGGATTCATTTTTGGTCTTGTCTTCTGTATTTATTTTTATATACAAGCAAGTATATTATGAACCTTCTCGGTTCACTTTTTGTCTGTTGATGTGGTAAACTGCAGGTCTTGTAGCTCTAGTTTGAATCATGGTGGCTTAGATAGTTATAACATCACGGGAGTAGAAATGTTTTTGCGGGTTTTGTACAACTTTATGGAAAAAAGATTTACCATAATTATACGAACCATACAAAATTTGGCTGCAAATTTGTCATTTGTTTCTTCCGAGGCTACTTCCATTTTATAGATAGTTTCGTATAAGGCATTGCAACTCGAAGTGGTTTTTATCAGTGGGGGTCTCCTTGATATCTCAAAAGACCCTGCTTTAGGATGCTTGAATTGTTTATCTGAATGAAACAGGTTGTTGAGATCACGAAAGGCAGCAAGGTCAAATATGAACTTGACAAGAAGACAGGACTCATCAAGGTAAGGGAAAATATCCAATATGATGATTTGATCGGTGGATTAATCTTCTTCTGTGGCTATCAATCCCAAATGTCTTGATGGCTCTCAGGTGGATCGGATTTTGTACTCATCCGTTGTATACCCTCATAACTACGGTTTCATTCCCCGGACATTGTGTGAAGACAATGATCCCTTGGATGTGTTAGTTATCATGCAGGTACAAGTCTGCCCCTAGTAAAGAAAGCTCTACTCTCACATAGGCTTAGATATATATGTTTTTATATATGGAGTCTTAACCATTGCAAAAAATTAAGGCTTGTAATATATCTATGCATCTTTACTCGTAAGATAAATTTGCGTTGAATTCGTTTTCTGGACAGGAACCGGTGCTTCCAGGCTGTTTCCTGCGAGCCCGAGCCATCGGACTAATGCCCATGATTGACCAGGTAAACTTATCCTTTTGGTTATCTTTTATTTTTATAAATTACCCAATCTCAAGGATTGCAAGTGAGACTGGTTTTTTTCTTTGAATGAAGGGTGAGAAAGATGACAAGATCATTGCGGTATGTGCTGATGATCCAGAGTACAAGCATTATACTGACATCAAACAACTGCCTCCTCATCGCCTCACTGAGATCCGACGTTTCTTTGAAGACTGTATCCTTTTCTCCAATCATCGTCACCGGGTTTCTGCATCTTGAGGGGTAAGAGATGCATTCTTGAGTCATACATAAAAGAGAATCTTTGTCTCGTCTTCCTTGACAGCAAACTCACAGACAAGAAGAACGAGAACAAGGAAGTGGCAGTCAACGATTTTCTGCCATCAGAGACCGCCGTTGAAGCCATCCAGTACTCCATGTAAAAACTCTCCTTTACATCACTAATAAACCTTCACAGTTCTCTGTCCACCATCCATTCTTAACGTGTTTTTTTTTTGTTGCAGGGACCTTTATGCTGAGTACATTCTACACACCCTGAGGCGATGAAGAAAGCTATTTTCCTCATGATCTTCCATGTGCCCATTTTGGACACGCTCTTCGGTTTGAATAAGCATTCTCAATGATGTCCTTGTGTCTTTTTGTTTCAATGTTTTTTTTTTCTTCTGTAATCTGGGTGGATACTGTTGATCTTATGATTGCCCAAACTATTATGTACTGTTCCTGTTCCTTCCTTCCAAAGTACGAAGCTTTGTCCTGCTTTGAAATGGCGTTAATGGTGGATAACGTCACGTATCTGTTGTTTTCTGCACTTGCCACTTGGAACTTGAACTAAGTCGTCAAACATCAATGGAGAGAGCGATCACTGGACTTGGAATTCGAGTCATAGGGGGAGGAGTTCCCGACGAAACTGGACTCTCATAATTGGCCCATGAGGTTCACGTTTCGGTTAGGCTAACCGGGCCCGGTCCAGTTACAAATCACCACAAAACCGGTCCATTTCACGATAATCAATATATATATGGCGCGTGTATCTCACGCTCCTTTCACCTCATTATATCAATTATGATAATGATAAAAATAAGGGTCCATTTTTTTTTTCCCACCCTCTGTTGATTTTTGTACCCAAGCGGATACGAATTTAATGACGAACATCTCAATATATCCTGACAGAAAGCAAACGAAATATTCTTTTATTTTTTTAGCACAAGCGTATAAAATATTTACTACAAGATATTTGTTCGATCACACTGATGGATATAAATACCATGCAAATAAAATATGAACGTAGGAGCATGTTGAATTGAATTTAATAGATTTCGGGCTTAACGTGAATATTTTGGGTAAAAATATGGATCGTAATTTTTTTGTTAAAATAAAAACTAAATAGATTAAAAAAAGGAAACAGATAATATTAATAATAATAATAATAAAAAATAATAAAGCTATATAGATGCATGTGTGTGGAGGAAAAAGCGACAAAAGTGGGAGGGAGAGAGAAAGCGACACCACAAAAGGCTCAGAGAGGAAGCCTGCGACTCCGAAGCCTCCAACGGTTTCCACTGGTGGCCCAAATCTTACGTCTGGCTTGGACGACTCTATATATCCGTCCATATATATATATATATATATATATATGCAAGCACCAAGAACTGCAATAATTGTTTCTTCTTGAATTTGCTTCATTAAAAAATATATGTATATATATAGTTGTACATATAGAAGCTCGAGAAAAAGAGTTTTATTCCATTCATTGATTTTAATAAATATATTTCTTAATTAAATATATCTACAGATCATCGATTCTAACCAGCGTTTGAGAGAAGCTGAATCTAGGTTAAGTGGGAGGGCGAGAGAGACTATATTATAAATGTTATAAATTTTAAAAAAGGTAATCTGTACAACGGTCAACCCATTTAAGATGAAATATAATCGTATATATAAATGTTATAAATTATAAATAATTATATCAACTAAGGCTCCTAGACTTTTGGGGCACATGACAGTTGTTGCCATTTCATCACATCACAACATGCTCCATGCAAAGGGATACAATTCGCTCCTGCCGCATCCAAAGACATATATATATATATATACACACACATTATACTATAAACACTCACGCATATAAACCCGAAATTATGTGTAATATTATGTAACAAATGATGATATAACGCTTCATCCAAATAAAAAATCTGATGGACCGAGCTTGCTTAGGAATTGGTTGCGATCCCAAGAAGATAAATCAGAATCGATTTATTTCGTTGTTGGATAATGGATATAATTAGAAAAATACAATAAATAAAATTATAAGCTTTTATGTGAAAGCGTGCGGTGTATCTTTCTATATCTTTCTTGTACACTAATTTCACAATAAATAATAGCTTATATTTATGTCTCAATATCTTTGTACACTAATTTCATAACTATCTATTTTTCAATTTTTTTAGAATTTTTTCTCTGAAGAACGGGGACCAAATTCTTAACATCTCTCGATGACAGCAGGACAAATTAAAAAAAATGGAAAATGAAAAAAAAAAATCCCCAACCAGATCCCTCGACTTGGGGGATTACGTGACTATGAAGTTGGGTGGGAATGAGAGAAGTGTATGAAGATACAACCTCTACTGTGGCCGTGGTCCTAACCCTATCCCATCTCGCTCTTGATATATATCATATATTAATTTACATATAACACATTTCATATATATATACACACACACCGTAACGTCAAATCTTCCCCTCCCATTCCCAAAATTGCGTTTAGTTACGAGTAAAATGATATAATAGTGGGGGAGTCCCCCAACAATGACAACCCCCTCCACCATCAGGTTGTGGGTTCGAATCCCAGGTATGGTACTCCTTTGAGTCGATCAGCTTTACGAAGCTGGTTTACCTGCTCTGGATGGTTTGTCGGCTACTGCGTAGGACGGTGGGTTTTCTCAGGTCTGCGATGCTGTCCTGATACCGTTCTCGTCCGGCCTACGGGCTGAGAAGCATTGCGGTGTACGGTGTCCGATCCGAAGGGTTGTACGATAGAGGTTTCCCATCGTAACAAAAAAAAATGATATAATAGTTTTTGTTACATCGGTTTAGTGTAATTTCTACACGCACACGAGGAATTCGTTATAACAAGGATTTCACTTTTTGAACATTTAATAGAATTCTTACTATATGGATTCTGGTAAAAGGCAGTAGAAGAAACATTTGAAATATAATCACGAAGCCCATATACATTTATATACCGAGAGAGGGGGTTAGGATTTCCTTCATTACAACAAAAAAAAAAGGTAAAAATGATTGTAGGCAGAGCCGCAGAGAGGTCATTTGCGTATAAAAAACAGTAAAATGGTAACAGTAAATAGAAAAGTCACCTTTTTAGCTTTGGCCTTTGAATTAAAGGTGAGTTGCTTGCATTTGCATGCAGGCCACCTTTTCCGTTTTTCAACTTAAAAACTTTTATACCATATATTAGCAGCCCCTTTTAATTAAATTAAATTCACTGTAATCCTTAATTTTAAATAATTAAAGTCGAAAAAAATTGGACACGAGTTTCTGTGGTTGATTTAGCAGTAAACACGTATTTATCTCTGTTTGTGGCTGTGAGCTCATCACATTTTACGTAGAGAAGTGAAAAAATATATATATATATCATTAATTGCATTTGTAGAGTGATGTAATCGCATTATACGTAGAATGATTCTATTAGTAAAATGATTTTATACGTCATTAGAGATGTGACAGAAATAGAAACTTTCATGTTGTCTCAAAATGTCAAACGCCACCGTTTTTGGACGTTGATTGATGAGATATAAGATTGGGACAATCAAAGAAAAATGACCATCGCTGAATTTTTCTCCTTCAGAAAATTCTGGCTGATACATCCATCACATGCTTCATTTGTTTTCTCATGCTAATTGCATTATAATAATTGCATATATATATATATATATATATGTGCATGCATGCATGCATGCATGCAGGATCCCAATAAGAACGCACTCGTGGCGAATATAATAATATATAATCAGGATTGCATTAATCTTATCATATGCTTATTATTTAACCTGAAAATTTGAAGATTCTTAATTAGTTAAACTAACCAGGTCGTCAAACCTCGTGGTTCTCAATATACATGTAAATATATAAACGCACGCATATGTATGCCGACATGTGTGTGTGCGTGTTCATATTTGTTTTGTTGCGTTTTGATGCATATGTTAGAATTTTGGTCCACAAATTAACATACATGGACACACGTCAGCAACCAGCTCAGCTTTTTCCTTGTAGAAAATTAAAATACATGATTAAGACAAAATTAGTTACGTGATTAGATGTAATTCTCACATATAGAGACTCGTCTTTTATTATTTAATTCATTTAGATAATAATATTAATTTGCCTATAGTCCATGTGATCGAGACAAGTAACGCGAGGTAAAGTCATAATAATAAATTAATAATAATATGGCATCTCGAAGTTGGAAAGGAAAGAGAGAGAGATTTATTAATTCTGCATAGATAGAAATAGAACCCACTTGAAATAAAGAAAATATTAGGTGAAATCTTCTTTCTCTACACGTCTTTCCATGTTAATTAAATGTCGTAATTTCTATGTATTTCACTTTATTACTTTTAGGCGTACACATACATTGTTTAGTTGTGTGTATATATATATATATATATATATGTGACACATAAAAATAAAATTAATATGATTGTCATAATGAGCTATCTTAGTTTTAGATAATATCAATTCAATTGTCAAAACCCATTTATTTATTTATTTATTTATTTATAACGGATGATCTCTAACTACTACTTTTCGAATGTGTTGATTAGATAAACCGAAAATAATCTTTATATATAGACCACATAGACTCAGAAATGATCTCTCTTCCCACTACTGATGAATCAAACACTCAGACCCGAAACTGAAAGTTACTCACAACTTGACCAATGGTCCATGACATGTTGGGTCCAAACCCCATTTATTATGCGATTCTTGGTTTGATTTCTCTTAATCTAACGGCCGAATATATGGAAACAACAATAATATAAGGAACATGCACATGGAAATTCTGAAACAAAAGAGATAACTCAGTATCACAAACACTTAAATTGATACACGTATATATACATAGTGCTCCTGTATGTATGTATGTAAAGAGCGCTAACACGAGATTGATGTAAAGGATAAGAAGCACACTTCTTACATGAGCAGAGCCATATCATCCATATATAGGCCCTACGTATTACTCTCTCTCTTAATTATAAGTGACGATCTGTACGAAGCATCTCAAAGCTAGCCACCATGTTCTTCACTCTCCAGAGAGATAGACGAACAGAAATGTCGAGAGATCCAATTGTTGGGCGAGAACCTTGTTTGCTGAAAGATTGATTTTTTGCTCATTCTTTTTCCTTATGTTTTTAGATACGTTTAAAGTAGTCCCTTTGTTTATTAATTTGTTTGTCAAATTAACACATCTTTCGAATCTAGATTTAACAGAAAACGATACATATAATTTTCCTTATGATTTGAACTATTTACCTGTTAAATAAAAGATGCAAAAATAATTTCATAAGAAAAATCTGTTTTTTTTTTTCTGGGTCATTTGGGGTCAACGTCGATCGTGAAGAACAAGATCAGCAAGCAGTGTTCTTCTTGAATTTGAGTATATAGCTTGTTCTAATTCTAGGGTTTTTATGTTTTCCTCTTTATTGTCAAAGATTAAGGCAGCGACCATGTGAATTCCATCGAACCCAAAGAATATATCCCCAAGCATGCTGTGTATATATACATCTCTCTCTTGCAAGGTGAGACCACCAACTTTTTTTTTTTTTTCTTTCTCCTCCTCCAATTATATTCTTTAATTTAAATCCCTATTTATTGTGTGGTTGAATTTTCGTTTCGTTTTTAAATCATATCTCATGTATGGTGAAGATCTCGAGTTGGGTGCTACTCATCATCATGAACAACAATAACCCATTATCAATAATCCAATAACAAGAAAAGGGTTTGATCTTCAACACGAGTCGCTGATCCGCCTCGTAAAACGAATTACGATCCGCCGGAAAACTCGCGTAATTCTCATGGATCTGTCACTAGCGACCAAAAGTTCCGACCAAGAACAAGACATAGATCAAGAAATCTCCGCCGACAACAACAACATGAACGTGCCGGTTCCGGTGGAGAAGGAGCACATGTTCAACAAGGTGGTGACGCCGAGCGACGTGGGGAAACTGAACCGTCTGGTGATACCGAAGCAGCACGCCGAGAATTACTTCCCCTTGGATTCGTCGTCGAGCCAAAACAGCACGCTGTTGAACTTCCAGGACAGAAACGGCAAGATGTGGAGGTTCCGTTACTCGTACTGGAACAGCAGCCAGAGCTACGTCATGACCAAAGGATGGAGTCGCTTCGTTAAGGAGAAGAAGCTCGACGCCGGAGATATCGTGTCGTTTCAACGCAGCGTCGGTACGGAACCCGCGAAATCTAGGCTGTTCATCGACTGGAGGCACCGTCCCGACATTAACCTCGTACGGAATCCGACAATACCCTCTTCTTCACTCTTCCTCCACCATCATCATCCTTATCAGTTCGGTGATTTCAATTTTCCGACGTCGGTACATGGCAACAGGCTACCGGAATATTCCGTTCCCTGGGGCTTAAACTTCGACGTTCGTAATCCGCATCATCAGTACAACCGACAAGAACGGGAGATTATAGGGTATGGATATGGTAGTTTTGTCGGGCGATGCTGGCCGTCGGATCAGCGGAGCCCCTGTGGATCAGAGCCGTTGGTGTTCGACTCGATCCCGGTGGTTGCCGGGAGGATAACTCCGGCGGTTGTGGCGGAGTTGCCGCCGCCGGAGGTGGCTGCAGCTGGGAAGAGGCTAAGGCTGTTTGGAGTAAACATGGATTGTGGTACGGACGATCATCATTCCACTTCTCCCGGGAGAGATATTGTGTCACGTGGCGAAATGGGTGCATCGTCTTCTTCATCTTCAGCTCTAAGGTTAGGAAGGTCGTCAACTGATGATGATCCAAATGCAAGGAAAGGGAAGTCTCTGTCTTCCTTTTTCTCTTGATTCGGATCCACATGAGGACTCTAATTGGACACGAAGCTATACGAGTTCTTAAAGACAAGCCGCCGATTAATTAATAATGGTAGAGTTTAATTTCACAATCTTTTATTCTATCTTCTCTCTTCTTTGATCTTATTTTGGGTCTAAATCATCGATTCCAGTGAATTGAGAGGTTCATTCTAGAATCAATCACATTGATTTTTTTATTTATTAAAGAATTCTGAATCAAGGTGTTCTTCACATCGAGAGTTTTAGGTTTTGTTTTTATGTTGAAACTGGAATCAATTGTAATATTTGTGTATATAAATATTTACAAAGACAAAATTATACAATCATATATCTGTATATGTTTTCAGATTAGTCTAGAGCTTTCAACATGTTCTGGACGGGAAATTTTATTATCCCATAATTTTGGAAAATTCCCGTCATTCTACCATGAAATAACTAGCCGGTTCACTGTGAAGTGATTCACTATCCCATCAAGCGAACTATGTTCGTTCATAAACTGTACTATGTGCCTATTTCCCCTACACTGACAAAGTTTCATGGTACATTCTAAGCTCATGGTCAGCTAGCTCCAAATCTCTCTCTCTCTCTCTTCTTTTCTCTTCTGGTCCTAAGCCTATACATACATATGTATAGTTTGTTTGGTTAGTGGTGTTTTGCTCATTTAAAGAGATTTGCAGGTTATGGGCAGAAAGAAAACAATGAAGATGTGGAAGACTACAAGAATTTCGAAAATTGTTTGAAATAAAACAAAAGGTATGATGATATGTTTTCACATTGTTGACTTTAATTAATCACACGAAAAATTCTGCTTCTTCATTTACTAATCGGCGGTGTGCTTTTGCCAAATCAGGTGTGTATATATATATATATATATTAGGACCTCATACATATATCATGGGTCCTATAATATGTTCATATATATATATATGTATATATAGTGGTGTATATATTGTCTATATTCATGTGCCGCTTAAGGTTTGTCTTTAGTACGCTTAGTTTGCCGTAATAATCGATGCATGTCCATATACATGTATATTTGCACACATTTTTAAGCTCCTCTAGGCATTTGTGGAATGGTTGAATTTGTGGAAATTAAACTCGTTACTTAAAATATTATTTCTTCATATGTGACATGTGTTATCATTTAAACACATTCAATTCGAAAATATTCATATATATATATACACACACACACGAAACACATAATGAAATGGTTTTGCAACTCTTGAAAATTAAATGCTGCTGTATTAAAACTCTTGTAATCTTTTTCTCCAGATTCAAATGATCAACCAGGCCTGCCAAAGATTCCAAAACCTAGCTTTCTCCAGAAAAAAAAAATGGTCAACGACGGATGAAGGAACAAGTGTGACAAGCATGGATTATATACATACACATCCCATATTTAGTTGAAAAGCTTTTGCACATATGCCAATATTATCTTACATATTGTGTGTGTCAGTTTGTGTATATATATATATATGCATGTTTATATACACACACAAGTTCACATCTAAGAAAGAAGACTAAACGGGAAAAAGTAGTGACATATAAAAAAATGTAAAATGGATAAAGCGCATATTTCATAATATATACGTATATGTATGTATATGTATATATATATATATATAATGGTGGTTATATTACACTTGGAATAATCTGTCAGGCTCCAATTACTGTCAATTAATAAGTCAAGATTCATTCTTCACAGATTCCTAACCTAAAAGACAACTGAACATATGTAGGCCGGTTAGGGTTTTACAGGCATTATTGATGGTGATATGGAAACTTCATGCATGTGGGTGGGTACTACTTCCCTCTTTTCCTGTTTGATTTCATATATATATATTATTCATTCATTTACATGGGCATGCTGCCCAAATTCCCATTATTGTAGCACATGGACAGCTTATTAATTTGGCGTTATTGGTGAATTTTGGATCCTAATGTTCATGTTTAAATATTAAATGAACAAACTCTCATTAATTACTCGCTAATTAATTGTCATTTACGTTTTCATTTTTATGCTTATGGGCGACTAATGCAGTCGGTCCATTTTCGAAATGAACCTTGTTTGGGAGAGGGAATATAAAGATAACCCTTTATCGTTTCGAGAAAGAAGATGACCGTTTAATCATTTTTTAATGTTTCAACATTTTTTATTTTTTTTTTCTTTTTGGCGGAGACAACATCGTAATTAAACTAAAAGAAAAATATTTTCACCTAAAAAAACATTTTGCTAACTTTTTTATTTTTATTTTTTTTAATTTAGTTGAATCCGTTAAGACATGGTTTGATCTTAGTTTTTGACATGGCGCCCATCATCTAAAATATTTGTTTATAATATCAGAAATGTACATGTAACAGCTACACTTGTACGGTCGAGAGTTGTCATATTCTATCTATAAAGAGCTTTCATAGGGGTAGATGTTTAAAGCCTACAAGATATCATACCACAATATAATTATTCCAAATCTATAATAAATTCCTACTATATTATATAATAGATTTCCGGTAATTCATTTAACCCTAACGATATGTAGAAAATAAAAGGCAGTATTTACGGTTAAATAAATAAAAGGCAGTACATCTGGTTATTAGACAAAACCGGTTGGTACGGTCAAACAGCCCAAACTATTAATCGAATTGGGCCAATGGCCCATGATCCATGTCTGGATTTTAAAACTTTCAGCCCAAACCCAAACCCGGAACTGTGTCCGTACAGAGGCCATCCCCGTTCGAGTTGGGGGAGAAACTAGAGAGAGAGAGAGAGAGAGAGAGAGAGAGAGAGAGAGAGAGAGATGGGAAGAGAATGCAGATGCGTGGAGTGTGGGTACAGAGTCAAATCCTTGTTTGTTCAGTACTCTCCAGGGAACATTCGCCTCATGAAATGCGTAAGCTTTTCGATTTTGTCACCCCCAAATTCGTTAGGGTTCTGAATCATCGAATGCTACCCACCCCAAAAAAAAAAATGGGCTTTATTTGTAATAATTTGCATACCGATGGTGGGTTTTGGCAGGAAAGATGCAAGGAAGTAGCAGACGAGTATATCGAGTGTGAACTCATGGTTTGTAAAACATCCTCTGTTTAGTGTAGTGCCAGTTTCTTTTGTTTTCCTTATAGGTTTTGAGTTTTGGATTTTCTTTTTTGAATGTTTTGCAGATTGTCTTTATTGACTTGGTTCTTCATAAACCAAAGGCATACAGGCACGTTCTTTACAATGTGCTTAATAAAAAAGCTGTGAATATTCAGGTACGTTGTTTGCTTCCACTTTATGGGTTGAGAAGATCGAGCTTGAAGATGACTGAATCAGGCTTAGTTTTGTTTAATTGCCAATTATTAAGGGGGAGTACCCAGAAAATCTGAATTTGCAAGGGTAAATTCTCTTTCCACACGAACATTTTGCAGGATTCGGTGATGATCCGTTGGAAAATTTGGTCCATCTTCTTGTAATTGGCAGACTGTTTTGTTATAGCATCACTTCTGTTTCACCGTTTTCCAAATTGATTGAGGCGCTGAAAAGCTTTTAATGGTGATCTTTCTTGGTTTCCACCACAATTTCATACCTAAAGCCTCAGAAATTATGTAAATTTGTTGCTCTCTTAGTTGGGGAAGTTGGATTCTAAAATAGATAAGCATGAAACTACAACTGTTTGACTCTGAGAAGGTATCAGTTTCTTCAAAATGTCGCAGCATCTATTATGGAAGGCGGTCTTTGCTAATCTTCTTATAGATGCCTGTATCCTTTCGTTCCATGCTTTATGCCTGGATAAGTAGTTAGTGTAACTTGATTCTTGAAAAAAAAAGATCTGGTCATTGATGGTTTGACTGGAAACTCATTTGCTGTGCCTTAACGATCAAAGATAGAAGCTTGCTACTGAGAAGAAACTACGAGAAAACGAGTCTTTCCCATAGCTTTGTTTCTACAGTTGTGAAGGTCGGTTATTCTCCGTGTCATATGCTTTGTATCATGTGACAAATTTATTTGTTTCCTTTGGAATTTCATTGGTCGGGAATGGATGAGATATGTCGAAAAATGATCTGTGATGCGCATGTAAACAGGTCATGATCGACATCCTTTCTGCAAACATTGTATTTATCTGTTCTTTCGCTCTCGCAGCTAAGATCATGCTGCATCTCTCATTTGATGGCACCAGGTAATTATTTTCCTTTCCATGAACTTCTCCAAAGATTCTACTTCTTCCACGGAAAGAAAAAATACAATGACCCTCTGAATATGCTTGAGATCTTATGTGGAAGTTTTTATGTTGCGCCCTGAACGTTATATATCCTGTCTTTCATTCTTGATTCGATTTGGAATGTGGTGACCAACCAAAATGAAACTCATGGATCATTTTTTTGAAACCTTGCAGAAAGAGAGAGATTCTTTTAGGAATCCTGATTTCCAGCTACTTCAAGATCTTTCTGCTTGCTATGATGGTATGTCTGATTCAGTTTCTAATACCCTCAAATTCGTGTCGAAACCCACCACCCAGAATTCTGTTCATGGTTTCAGGTCTGGGAATTCCCTGCTTCTGTGATCTTCATCGTCGATATATTCGTCTTAACATCGAACTGTGTGGCTCTCAAAGGTCGGACCTTTAAGCTTTTCTCAGCATTTACCCATTTTTTGTCTGGTGCTTTTTACTAATGTCTAAGCGTCATGCTCGTATCTATGGATCGACATTGATTTTGTTTTGAATGACTCGTAATACCCTTCGAACCAGTGATGGCGGAACCATCCACGGGCAAATGCATAGCAGTCTGTTTCATCGCCCATTTGGTGAGATTGTTGGCTCTTCAATTGCGCGAGTCGAGGTCATTGGGGCACTTTGATTTGTAATATGCCTTCTTTGTTTCCGGTATCGTATGATTGGATACTCTTCTTACAAGACTTGTATCTTCACAAAAAAACGGTATCTTGATGTCCCTGTTCTGTGGGATTGAATGGAGGTCAGGTCAGGTCGGAATGGCATGTGCGGTGTGTTATTGTAATTATCTTGAGGTGGAAGGTTATTTTTGTAATCTGCCACAACTCTTATTCCCACGTTTTTCACGTGTGATCCAAGATTCATTCTCTAGTTATTTTTGTAAGCAACAATTGCTCGAAAAACTCAAGGTTTAACCTTTAGAATTCCACGCATCATATGGATGTGCCATGTTTTTAGTGTGTATATATATATATATATATAAAATAGTAATACAGTGAGACTTGCTCTTGGTTGTTACCCAAATGAAATGAATCAATATGAACACAATGATTGAACGTTGAAAAGAATCAAATTTCCACAGAGAGAGAGAGAGAGAGAGAGAGAGAGAGAGAGGAAACAAAAACATTGCATAGGGAAA